TTGTTACATATATTGTCAAGTCTTTTATCGTCAATAAAGGACACTACTGAATGGATTGTATTTTTTTTTATTGATTCAAAACTTTTTAACATGTTATGCCATTAAGGCGAGAAGGGCGCCATCTATATTTCATTTCAATAAAAATGACTTCATATTTAAATTGGATATTAAATTCACCGATTCAAATATGATTGGGATAATGAAAATAGTTGAATACAATACTTAATATTTTTAAAATATTCTATTATTATTAAGTATATTTTGTTAATAAGGAGAAGCATTAGAAATTATACAAAAAAAGAAAAAAGATAATACTTGTCTAAAATCAAACTTTGACTGTCTGGGTGGCTATATGCAAGTTGGTTACTTCAAGGCCATTGCCTAAGTGGAACATCTTATTTTAGTATAAAGAGTATGCTTAACATTTAAAGTCTTTTTTTTATTTTTTTTTTTTTTTTTAAAGGATTGGCTGGCTAAAGCGCTTTTGTATGCTATAAATAAAACATGTCCTCCCCTTGTAAGATTAATGTTGGGGTCAAAGGATATTGAAATAGTAATATAGATAATTTTAGTTTATTGCAATAGAGCTAAGTGTGAAAAGTCAATATATAACACTCCAAGAATATAATAAAACTTAATATATATCACTCTCAGAATATAATATTCTGAAGGATCTAAAAAGGAATAAGGATAGACCATAACTCATTATTTTTAATTAAAAAGGTAACTCAAAATTTGTTTAAATTAAACGAGTGAGTACAAAGTGAAATTTCTAAACTTTATTTATCAATACTTCATATAAATATCAGAACTTAGAATACATGAAAAGCAGCATAATGTGTTAAGGTATTTTGTCATAATTGTTTGTAGAATTGAAACAGACGTAGGCATTTTGCTCACTATTCTTTATTTTGTTTTTGAATCCCATTTAACGCTACTAATGCCTCATTGTTAAATTAATTTCTCAAAAAATATTTACCAACATTTTTTTACATTAATAACAAACAGAGAAATATACAATGGTTAATTTTTTTCTCTCAAAAACATAGTGTCATTACCTAATGACATTTATTACCAAAAATGTTTATTGATTTGATACTCATTTGCGGTGAAAGAATCACACATTTTCATCAAATGCATTTTTATTTTGAAATATCTAAAAATTTCATAAAGTATATATTGTACTTTTACACGAGAATCATTTAAAAATATAAGCATCACAGTAAAATATCAAAACAGATTCATTTGGAATTTAACACAGGAAAAGTTTTCATTTCTATACTAAAAATTTAAGAGGTGGTTTTGAGAACATGTTAAAAAATCTCGAAAACATGATAATTAAACATACGATAAAAAAAAGGTATGATTATTTAGAAAGACTATTTTTAATTTGTTTAAAAAATGATAACACATGACATCAAGACAAAAAATGCACCTTAATTTCTTGAGCAAGGAAGAACACATAAAATAACAGATCTTTTAGTGGATTCATAGTTTTCATTTATTATTTTATTGGTATTGCACTTATAACAGTTACTTTGATTGATTGGAAGTAAAAATAAGCTTTAGAATAGTGCAAAAGGCAACTATTATTTCAATGAAGCATCACAGATATGCAATATAAAAATGTAAGCATACGCAAAATAAATATGTTAGCAAATAAGATTAATTGTGAGATAAAATATTGCTATTTATAAAAATAAATTTTATCAATAAGCTTCTGGCCAGTGCAAAACACTCAAAAGGCAATTATTATTTCAGTGTTGCATCACAGATGTGCAATATAAAAATGTGACCATTGAGAAAATAATTCTGTTAGCAAATTGGACTGTTAGAAAGATAAAATGTGATTACATTAAAATAATTTCTCGAACATTTTTCACGTGAAATTATATGCAACACAAATAAGCTCTGAAGATGCACTCATATAACACACTTTGTGGCAAGGCAGATGCAAAGCAGTGCAAAACACTCAAAAGGCAATTATTATTTCAGTGTTGCATCAGAGATGTGCAATATAAAAATGTGACCATTGAGAAAATAATTCTGTTAGCAAATTGAACTGTTAGAAAGATAAAATGTGATTACATTAAAATAATTTCTCGAACATTTTTCACGTGAAATTATATGCAACACAAATAAGCTCTGAAGATGCACTCATATAACACACTTTGTGGCAAGGCAGATGCAATTGCAATACACAGCTTAATTCTATAAATTTACATGAAACATTCAAAATAAAAGCTTTACTTAACACAGCACACAAATATAATTCAACACACTATATTGCTTAGTTCCACTTAAATTTTCATCAAAATTAGCAATTCACATTAAAGGCTATCTAATATGGCAATAAATTGAAAACAATACATTTGAAAACAGGAACAGAAATTTACATAGTAAGTACTGAAAATAAATATATTAAAAACATTTCCAAACAATTATATATTAAAAATTATCTTAAATAGTTATGTATAACTTATTTAACAAAAGTAAAATTCAGTAAAATAATAACTAACAAAAATTTAACATTTTACATTATCCATAAAAATGTACAATAACTGTGCAATTTAAAGTTTTTGATGTAATATTTATGTCATTATTCTTCAGTAGATACTACTATAAAAATAAATATTAATAGAGTACATTAACTCTTTGATTAAAATAAATTGTATATTCTCTGATGAATATTACATCACAGATATTACATTTTGTTTCACATTAAAAATCTTAAGGCAGATGTGTAGTTATTAAAACAATAAATTAAAAAAAGAATAATTAAACTAAAACACGTAAGAAAATTGGTGAACATACTTGTTATATATCCTTAAAAACGAAATACATTTTCAACAGTTCTATATTAACATATGCTGCAGTATACAGAATAGATACCTAGAGAAATTCAACCTCTTGTGAACTTTTGGTGCAACCATATCACTGCCTTAAGGTTATGAATTAAAAACAAGCTTAAAAAATTGAGCTAATTTTAATTTGCATCAAATAAGTTCTTCTCTTATGATAGGATTGCTGTAGGAAGAGTAAGAATTGGCGTGATCACAATTACTCTTTTCTTCTGGTATTGAAGAAAGACCTTTTGCACGCTTTAATTCTTGAGCAATCATTATTTCATTAGTAATGAAGTTTTCATGTCGTATTCTTTCCATTAGTTTCTTTGGGATATCTGGTATCAGCCATCGAGTTAGGGTTGTGATCATCAAAACAATGCTCTAAATAAAACATGTAAATTTTAATAAGAAGATAATTTGGTACTGATTTTTTACTACTGGGTAACGAAACATGGTAAAGGAGAAATTATAAAAGATTTATTCAATTTGTTTGGCAGATAGCTCTGATATGGTTAATGATCAAGAAAAATTTTATAAGCTATACTCTAAAATAACAATCTGCTGACTTTTGAAATTTTATTTCGCTTTCACCAACCATTTGTGAACTTAAAATTGCACGAAGTCCTTCAAATGTGTAAGTACTTAGCCAATTTGTTGAATGAAAAACACTTTTGGAATTTAGCTGATGTAAACTATAATTGTTCTGAATTGAATTGAATTAAAACAAATAAAGTAAGAAAGAAAAAATGAGAGAAAAATCAAGAAATAGATGGCATATTGTTTCATAATTTATTTTCAGTTGTTGGTTAAAGAAAAAGTAGCGGTAATGATGTGTAAGTTTCGGAGAGTGAAAAACTAATGAAAATAATGGTTTATCAAAGTATAATCATTACAGTACTTCTGTATGTAGTGAGAAAAAATAAAGCTTTTAAAATAAAATTTAGAGAAAGAAAAAAAAATTAAAATGTAGATAGATTTTAATGGCTTAGCTTAATTTGATTGCCAGAATGCCCCAAAAGAAAAAAAATAATAACATCTCTCACAAGAATCAATATTTATTGCCAAAAATAAGAGTTGTAAGTAATAAATGGTAGTTGCCACTAATTAAGAGATTATAGTGCAATTAAGAACAATAATTAATTCAAGGAGTAAGAACATTCTTTGTCAACAATAATGCACTGTTCTTGTTGGTTACTTAGTTACAAATCAAGAGATTTTATCAAATTTGTTTTAAAACTCTACTAAAACATACTGTTAAAGGATCTAACAGAATTTATAAAGGATCTAAAAGGATGTTACTGAGAGACGGTTAAGAGATCTAACAAGGATTTCCAAAATTATAAAATATTACATTCTCTTTTACAATTTCATTAAAAATATTGTTAGAAAACATGAATATCAATTTGTTATACAATTTCATAAAAAATTATCATATTTAAGTAAATGTAATGTCTACAAAATAATCTACAAAAAACAAGGAAGGGAATCTAAGTACTTCGGTAATTACTCACTTCAAATATCAAGACAAATCCGAAACGCCATGCAAGTAAATGCCAATATTCTAAATTGAATTCATATCTGTCTGGAGATTCTGGTGGACTTCTATGATCACGATATCTAAAAAATCAACACACTGTTAAAAGTTTTGGTACTTAAAAACTTGATAGTAAAACATTTACACAGTTATCAAAATTACATTATTATCGATAACAGACAGTAAACAATTAAAATGAGTGTAAAAACACTAAAATATTTAGTTCTAAAATCAGATTCCATCAAAAAAAATTCAATTAAAATACTTTTCCCAATTATTTGAGTTAATTTCTATCAGAGTTAAATCTAGATTTACAAAAAGTTAATCGATTGAGACACAAGTAATGAATCTATGCAAAACAAAAAAAAACAAGCAAAATTTTAGTTTTTTTCTTTCAACAAAGTGAAATTCTAAGTGTAATATTAAACATTTTTGTAATATTCATGATTCTAGCAGTTATTCTAATTGAAAGATAATGCTACATACTTTCTGTTGGTAATATGATCGCTAAATTTAACAACTCTGATAAAAGAAGTCAATACAATAACTGGAAACAAAGCAACAATGTTCGAGAAAGGAAAAAAGTCCTCAACTATAGTGAGTGAGGGAATTCAGGGAGTAGGCAAACAAAAGAGCTCTTTTTATGGATTTTTTTCCTTCATAAAAATTCCTAAACAAAACTATTGGTTTGAGAAAGAAAAAAAAATCTTAACACATAGAATAAATAGACAAAACTATTAAACAACAATAAAACAAAAACTATTGTTTAAAGAAAGAAGAACTTTTTTTAATACATAGAATGAATAACATTATGTTTCTTACAAAAAATATATTTCTGATTTTTCCATAGAAGTTAATGAGACAAGGAAATAAGTCATTAATAGGGAAATAAGGAGTGATAAGATTGCATCAATGTGCATAAAGCTCAAAAAACATGCCATTCATTAAATTCTCACATATTAGCAGGGCTTATAGTGATTATTTTGTACACTCTTTCAAAGAATTCAGTCAAATGTCACATCTATTTCATTTATTTTTTCTAATTCATATAATTTGATCTTTGTCTTCCTTACTTATGCTAAGATACAGGGCCGGATTAAGCGTACTCGGGGCCCTAGGCCATTAAAATTTTTGGGGCCTTTGGATTAAACTTTTTTTCTCGTATATTTTTTATTTATTCAAATATAAAAGTATTTATACATCTATTCATTTAAGAAAGTATATTTAAAATAAAAATATATAATAATAAATTAAATTTTACTTTATTTTGTTACATTAGAACTAAAAAAAATATTGTATTTTATTAACATTGATTTTAAAGTGATTTTTTTTTAAAAAAAATCATTGTTTTCCTTAATTTTTTAAAATTTATTTCCAAAAATTTTTTTTTAAAGGGAGCTCCTAATCATTGGAGGCCCCAGGCCATGGCCTAGTCTGGCTTAATGGGTAATCCAGCTCTGCTAAGATAGATAGTGGATGAACATGTTTTGATGATCTTTTAAAAATGCTGTAAATTCCAGGCTTCAAAGCATGTAACGGTCAGCTGTATGTGCAGAACATTTATATATTCTACCAAATCTTTAAAAAAGGAAGCTTTTAATAATAGTGAATTTTTAATTAATTTGAGAAAAAAGAAAAATATTTATTTTTAGAAAGAAAGCTTAATAAATGGATCTTTCGACAGCATATTACAGAGAGCTTACAATTTAAAAAGCTTCTTATTATAAAAAGTCATAAAGTATTGAATTATCTATATATATAAAAGTGAATGTGTGTCTATCCTCTATAGACTCCTAAACCATCCGACAGAAAGCTATGAAACTTGGCATACAGATAGTTCAAAGCACGAGGAAGGTTTCTGTAAAAATCATTATTTCATAATGGTAATCAGCACAGTAAGCTACACGGTTACAGGACTTAGGGCCAAAAGCTTTCAAGCACTAGCAAAAGCACTTTCAGGCACAAGCATATTAAGTAACGGGAAGTAGGTTAATCACGTTTCGTCTTCATGAAAATATATATTTATTTAAAGTTATACACACAGATAGGCTTGTAGAAACACGGCTTTATAAGCATTGACAAAATTTCGCACAAACTTATTAATAATTAGTGTTGAAATAATACAAATGAAAAATATCCAATTTGGAATTTTTTGATTTATTAATATAATCGTAAAAATTGTGGACAAAATGTTTCCTTTTAATGTTACTAGAGGGCTCTGTTGTGAGTAGGGAGAAAAGAAACTTTGGAAAAAGCATTTTGATGATGTCACAGTTTAGTAACTTAAGTGGTTTTTGTTCGTGAGTTCAGATTTAAATGTTATATTAATTCTAATGTCAAATACGCCATAATTTTTTGCGCACTATGAAAAATTTTATTTTTTTAATTGGTTAAAAATTTATCGATATTAATCATAAAATTACACTGAATTTTTTTTTTAATTTTTTTTTTTATATAAAATAAATATTTTACCTCTTTTTATACTGTAAAACCAAAAATGTTTCTTTAAAATTTCTAGATATAAATGGAATGAATTTGAATATTATCAATATCACCAAGCTTTCCCAATACTAGTTAAATACTGGTCTCAGTTTTACCATGAATATTTACTAGCCTACAGTGAGTTGGATATGTCTTAAAGAAGAAAAAAACATTATTCCTTTTAAATCAATTTTTTCTAAGATCTCTACATTTTCTTAGACAAATAAATTTCAAAAAAAAATTCTATTCGAATAAGAATTATTCTAGTAAAAAATTCTAATTTTGAAGGCGACACTTTAAGTTTTAATTGCTTCTTTTCTATCTTTTCAGTTATGGTCTAAGAACTGCTTCCTTAGGAGACTATTTTTTTTCTCTTACATTTTACTTACATTATTAATTTTATTCAGTCATTTGTTAATTGGCGGGTGAAAATATTTTTCCATGGGGAACTTAAAAATCTTTTCAATCTGGTTTGAAAGGAAAAGTAGTAGACTCGCATTTAAAACCTTTTTTTTTTTTTTT